TAAATACAACAATACTTATATTTTAGGCATATCACAAATGTCGTATAGATGCATATTTAATTTTACTGAACAAAATTATTGATGTTTTGTTTTTTCCCAAGTTTTGGTGCTTTTAAGAAAGTTGGTAGCCATGGGGTCTCACATTCGTGAGTACTCACACATACTTGTTCTCTCACTCTGATCACACATACAGATGCAATTCGCTCAAATTTTCTGCTTCCCCCGGGCATAATTACTTCATTTCTGGCATTTTGTCCGTATGTGCAGATTATATCCATCGCTACTCTAAAACAGGGATGGGCAGATTTTTGGCTCTTAAAGCCGTCAAAGAGCCGGCAAGTGCTACGCAAGAGCTAAATCAGTTATCAGGGTAAAGGTGTGTACAAAATACATTAAAAGCACCATATATATTAGTAATGAGAGTCGGAGTATAAGAAATTTGAATACGCTCTTCTTCCCCCCTTCATGCTGGCTCTTGATGTTACCCCTCATGTACCACCTAAATCTCCCAAGCCAGCTCCTAAGTGCAAAAGGCTCCTGGGAGCCACTTTGCCCATCTCTGCTCTAAAATATGGTATTCTTATCTTCTAAAATTCGGTACGGTTATCGGTATACAAATTCCTAACGGTGCCCGCTGTTCGGCGAGGTCGGCGCATGTTAGCCGACGCTTAGCTACTTTACGGCATCTGCACTCCTCCGTTGCTGTGTCGCGTCGACACGCTGTTGTTGGGCGACGTTGGCGTACCTCCGTCGCTGGACGATGTCAGCACTACTCTAGGGTATGGGCGCTCTGACTGCGCACGGCGTTAGCACTACTCTGCCGGTGCTCTTCTATCGAACGACGTCGGCGTTACCCTGGCTGCGCTCTGTGGTGTTGCGAGCGGGCAACGCCGCCACGCCGGTTTACGGTGGAGTGGCGGCGTTCTACCTTTGAATAGCCATGCCTGCTATAGTTGCCTGTTTACCAGTCAAGTGCTCTTCACTAGCAGCTGTGCGTTCACAACCACAATAGCCCAGCTTCGCTCTGCCTACTGGAGCAGGTTAAACTCAAACCTGAGCAGACTAAACGCAGATGTACCAAATGAGTTTCCGGCATGCGGAGAGACACCCCATGACTCGAAAGATATCTTGGTATGCCCGGAAAACCCGACAACTGTTGTAGTCGCTACAACAACAACAACTACAGCAGCGTCATCAACACGGCCAATCAATACAAGAGACCGTGTCAACACTCCTTTGCGACACCGTCACCATAGCAACGCAACGTGTAGCCACACGCCTCAGCAACACGAAGAGTACCAGCTATAACAGAAGTGACTTAGCAACATAAGAGTCAGTCAGCACGGAGCTCTGGTCGCGAACGCGCAGATACCAGTGAATAGCGCATGACTTGTAAATAAGCAACTATACAAGGCTTGGCGGTTCAAAGGTAGAGCGCCGCCACTCCACCGTCCACCGTGAAATCGTGTGGCGTATGACTCCCTGTGAATGCCTATTGCCTTGTATGTTGCCAGCAACGTTTCTTTGTCTTTTCCCCAAGTACTGCCGGTTGGCGACTTGAAGACCATGTTGCGGCTCTGTACTTTGTTCACAATAGCGGTTGCGTTCGTAGAGAAAAAAATCAGGCTGTCGAAGGTTACTCCGAGTATTTTGGGGTTATTCACCGTCGGAATTGGTGTATCATCGACGTGAATTCTCAGCGGTAGCTTGGCCTCTTTCATCCAGGTGGTGAACAAGGTCGCAGAGGAATTTGTAGGGGAGAGGGTTAGGCTCCTTGCAGGGTAGAAGCGAGAAGGTTCGGAGAGATACCCGTTTACTCTCGAACACAAGTCATCAATTCCATTCCCAGTCGCCAATCATCGAGCAATCGTCAGCGTAAGAGACAATCGAGACTCCCTCTGGTGGTTGAGGGAGCTTTGAAATGTAAAAGTTAAACAGTAGCGGGGAAAGGACACCACACTGTGGAACCCCCTGTTTTATTTTTCTGAGTTTGCTCGATTTGTTTCTAAACATTACCGACGAGTGTCGACCACTCAGATAATTCGCCGACCACCGTTTGAGCATCTGTGGGAGAGGGGAAGCCTCCATATCTTATAGAAGCGTGGAGTGGCTGACGGTGTCAAACGCCTTTGACAGGTCCAACGCTACTAGAATAGTTCTCTCACAGGGACGGTTGCGGTTAAGGCCACGAGTTATCCGAGTGTTTATGGCGTTAAGTGCTGTTTTTGTTCTGTGCACTTTACGGAAACCATGCTGATGCTTCGCTGGGGTCAGTTGGTTCGTGAAATACGGGAGCAGCAAGACCTCTAGTGTCTTCGCTACCGGGGAAGGAGTATTATCGGCCGATAAGGTTCTCCTTTGTTGGCTGGTTTCTCCGGTTTGAGCAGTGGTACCACTCTCCCCACCTTCCAGATGTCTGGGATGATGAAATTGAGCCATTGACATATTGAGGCCTCCGTTAAGTACGCTACTCCCGCAGGACCCAAATTTTTCAGCATCTGCATGCATATTCCGTCGGGACCTATGGCTTTGGAGGCTTTCGGCTTCCCGATGGCCACCTGAACTTCACCGCTAGTGAAGGTAAGGGGGGCACAAGTTGTTGGCAGTTTGTGCAGCCTTCTGGTCACCCGACGCATGGCTTTGTCCACTGGAGGATGCAGTATGAACTGCCGGCTAAAATAGCTCGCGCATCGCTCCGGGTCCGACGAAGCATGGACAGAAATTTCGACCCTGTCTTCGTGCTTCGTCGGATTGGACAGTGACCTCACGGTTGACCACACCAGAGGTGAAGTTGCATGTCTTCAGATGCTCTTCCCACTTTTTCCGCTTATGTACGTTCACAGGCTGCCGAATCTCCGCGTTGAGATGCCTAATATGGGGATTTCCGGGATCGGCCTGACGAAGGTTGTCACGCTCATCGGCTAGAACAGCCGCTTAAGCAGGGAAGTTTGGACGGGGGTCCGTAATGCATCCTGCCATTACGAAGCGAGCTGCAGCAGCAGTGACAACCCTGCGGAACTTACGTTCCCCAAGCTGCTCTCAGTAAATTCCGCTAAGCCTTTACAATCAGCTTTAGAAAAGTTGATATAGGTCCGGTTTTCGCGGAAGCAAGGTCGGTTGGTTTATCGATCGAGATGACTATGGGCAGATGGTCTGATGCCAAAGTCAGCATAGGTCGCCATGATACGATGTTTGTAAGACCAGCGCTGACTATTGTTATGTCTGGCGCGCTGCAGCAGCTGCCCATAATCCTGGTGTGTGCATCGTCGTTCATTGTGCAGAATGTCGAATCATCTATCTGTTCCCCTACGAGCGTTTGACAGGCTTGAGTGCCAAAGATCGTGGAGCGCATTAAAGTCACCTACTACCATACGGTTTTCTCCTCTGAGGTGCGCGCCTATATCAGGGTGATATCCTGCGGGTACCAAGTGATAGAGGGTATGTACACGTTAAAGATTTCGAGCTTAACATCGCCTTACCGGATAGCATAGCCCTGACATTCTAGGGTGGTATCCTTGCGGCACAATTCAACAATGTTGAATTGCTGTGCAGCTTCGTCTCTTGGACCGCATCTATCAATATACCATGCCTTCCCATGAAGACGGTTATCTCCTCGATCTTGCTCTGAAGTCCGTTACAGTTAAATTGGGGGAGCTTCATGTGGTTCGCGATACGTGTTGTTATGCGGGGGGTTAGGGATGTGTGTGGCCTTGGCGCTGTGCAGGTTGCCGCCCTGTGGTGGTAGTGGGTGGCGTCGCAATTGGCGTTTGCGACCGAGCGGCGCAACACGGGCCCTCGAGGTTACTCGTCCAATCTCGCGTGGTGCGCGGACCTGAACATGCCCTACAGTGGCACCAGCTAAGGCAGGTGTTGCATTTGACTGATGTCACGTTACGGAATATCCTGGTCGGGCATAACGTCCAGATTGTAGGAGAACCAGGAGTTGTTGGCTGGGGCGTGTGGGTGGTGGTGCGGTTGTGTATGTTCTGTGGTCTGTCGTGGTTGTGGTGTGGTCTATTGTGTTGTTATGTTGTGGTGCTGTGGAGTTTGTGTGGAGTTGCTCAGGTGGACTGGGGTTAGCCGTGGAGGCTGCTCTGTTTGAGCAGCAGGTGGCCACAAATGAGTGGTCCACTTCCGATGGGTCCGTAGTCCTGAGCAGACTCTGAGGTGACTCCACCCGTCACAAGCATTGCACTTGACTGAGGTGGAGTTTTCGTGTAGTCGTCTCTGGCATATACAGCAGTTGTAGGTTTCTGGCCCTGGGTTGGACTCGATGCCAGCCCTGAGCAGAATAATGCGTAGCAGATGTAGCCCTACGGGCGAACAACTTCTGAGATACTTCGCCGACCTAAACGGGGCTAGATCGCCGAAACAACAGCCCTTGGTCGGGTAAAACACGAGTCATTCCGGCACGTAGAACCGGTTGTCGTGGGAATGACGCTGTTATAGTCGTTGTTGTTGGTGGTGTAGGGGCAGGCGTTCGTGAGGGCTAAATTCCGCGGATATTTAAAGCGCTAACAGTCAACGACGTAGCGTAGACTTGGGTTGACGCAGATACGATCTACCGTATGGGATTCGCGTGTTTACGATAACTCACCACCGCATACCGGTGACGTTGCCGTTGCCATTGCTTCTCTCTCTATCAACAGTAAATTTGATATGCTGCTACGTACGTCACCGTACACAGGACTCACAGGACTAAGCAACTTTGCACTCTATACTAGCAAAATGTAAAATTCAATGTTCGATTACTTGAATATTTTGCCGATATGGGTTAAAGAACTTATATTTGTAAGGGTCTGCTCCCTGCCAAAACTGCCAGTGCTTGTAATAAAATCTTTAGCTCTTTCTACTCTATTAAGCCTAGTTAAATTTATTTCGCAATTCAAGAAGGCAATGCATTAAATTTTTCTGCATGTTAATGATAGTGCCTTTCTTATGACTATACAAATCATTTTATGAAAACTTACAGAAATGTGTGCGTATTCTTTGTATTTTAGAAATTAATATTTCCTGGTCATATATTCGTTGGGTCGCAAATAAATCCATCACAGCATATGCCTATTATGAAGGTTAGTATTTAAAGAATAATGTAAAACTTGAAACGCACCTAAGGGTGCGAATACACCAAGCGGTGCCGAGCCGAGTGCAGCAAGGCGGAGAGAAGCAAGAGTACGGGTGTTCACACTGAACGGATCTTTTTCCTTGGAAATATACCAAATAGATTTCGCTTTAAAATATTTATCGGAATTTTTATTTATTTTTTCATTAGCACAGCAGCGTCATGGCGTTGAAAAATAAAATAAAAAATACAAATCAAAAGTAGCTTTGCTTTAGTTAAAGCAATTTGATGAAATCTTCTCTCCGCTTGTAACTTCTCCACTTGGTTTGGGACCGCTTCTTGTGTGCACGTACATTGAGCTGGAATCTAGCCAAGTTTAGAAAACATGTGTAAGGAATAAAAAAAAACTATTTATAATTTTCAGTTAAATTTTCGTCATAATTTTAACGTAGTAACGTTTTCATCAGAAATTATATTTGGCCTGATTCCAGTTATATTTAAAACTTTTCTAGAAAAACAACAATATGCAATTTAAGTGAGTAGTACTTACAACTCTGTTAAACACAGGATTAAGATACAACGAAACAACCGCAACAATCACACGATCAAGTTTAACCCTCTTGTTGGTATAACCGCCGCTTAATAGGCTATATTTGTAAGTTATTAATACCTTATTTTCCTTGATTATTTGCTTCATACTAAATATTATGTAAATAAATTTTGTAGCAACAATTGTCGGCCGACAATTTTCTTTGAAAAGTGGCTGCAATTTGCACAAGAAAAAAAACTTTTGCAGGAAGTGAATTTGTTTACTAAGGTGTGGTTCCATGTGCAGAAGTGGATAGCTTTTGACTGCCATTCCCCTGGTCGCGGCCAGAAGTGATTCTTGTGCGTACGGTTCAAATCGAAGCTCACACCGTCCGGATATTTATATCCACGTATCCTCTGGGTAGCGCCCAAACACCGGTTTGGGAGAAAGCTGAAGTGAGAAAGCGATGCCCTCGGGAAGACTAAGGCTGACATCACCGCCATCCAAGAAATGCGATGGACGCGGCAAGAGAAGGTAGGCGTGGAGCATTTCGACGTCTACTACAGTTGCCACGTAAAGGATCACAAATTCGGTGGTGGATTTGAGGTGGGAGAGAGACTTCGTCGCCGTGTACTGGCGTACACCCCGGTGGACGAACATCTATCCACAATCCGCATCACAGCGAGATTATTCAACATCTCGCTCATCTGCGTCCATGCTCCGGCGGAAGAGAATGACGAGGCGTCCAAGGATCTCTTCTATGAGCGCTTGGAAAGAACGTATGAGCGCTGCCCCCGACACGATATAAGAATCGTGCTTGGCGATTTCAATGCCAAGGTGGGCAAGGACGGGATGTTGTTGTTGTAGCGGCACTACTAAGCCCCGCCTATTCGGTTCTTTCTTCAATCATTGTCGTCAAACTCAACCAACGGTAGGCCTAGGAAAGGGGTTGTTTCAACAAGGTCCTGCCAAAGGGAGAGGGGTGTCAGCTGAGTAGGATTGAGCTGGCAAGTGAATACGTGGTTGGTGTCGTGCGGAGAGTGTCCACATGCCGGACCCTCATTGCGGATATTGGGGTTGAGTCTGGACAGGTAGTTTTTGAGGCGGCTACAGTATCCAACCGTAAGTGTTAGGCTCCGTGTAGTAAAGAAGCGAGAAAGGCTATTCCCAGGCGCCAATATCGAGCAGTCGTCCGCATATGAGATCAGGGAAACTCCCTCAGGTGGCGGGGGAGCTTCGAGATGTAGAAGTTAAACAGTAAGGGGGAGAGAACACCACCTTGTGAAACCCCTTCTTTTATTCTTCTAGGTTTGGAGGTTTGATCTCTGGCGACTGTCGACCACTCATACAATTCGCCGACCACCGTTTTGAGTCCCTGAGGGAGAGAGGAGACCACAGTGTCTTCTAGCGGCGTGGAATAGCAGACGGTGTCAAACGTCTTTGACAAGTCCAACGCTACTAGGACCGGCTGCAGTTGAGGCCACGAGTTGTTTGGGTGTTTATAGCATTAAGTGCTTTTGTTGTGCTGTGCCCTTTAGGAAGCCATGCTTATGCTTCGCTGGGGTCAGGTGGTAGGTGAATTACGGGAGTAGGAGGACTTCTAGTGTCTTCGCGACCGGGGAGAGGAGCGTTATCGGGCGCTAAGAGTCTCCATTGTCGGCCAGTTTACCCGGTTTCAGCAGTAGGGCCACTACCTGATTTTCACATATCAGCGATGATGAGAGTGACCATGGATAGGTTGAGGACCTCCGTTAGGTATGCTACTCCCGCGGGCCTTAACTGTTTCAGCATCAGCATATAGATTCCGTCGGGTGCAATGGCTTTGGAGACTTTCGCCGCTGGTAAAAACAATTGGTGCACTGATTTTAGGCAGTTTGCGCAGTCTCCTCGCCACTAAAATAGCTCGCGCATTTCTTCAGGTCCGACGAGGCGCGACCTTCGAATGAAATATCCACTCTGTCGTCGCGCTTCGTTAGGTTGGACAAGGACTTCACGGTAGACTAGAGCTTACTGATACCAGAGGCGAAGTTACAGGACTTCTAGTGCTCTTCCCACTTTTTCCGCTTGTGTTGATTTACCAGTTGCCGAATCTCCAAATTAAGGTCCTTCAAGCGAGGATCGCCGGGATCGACCTGGCGTACGTGGCCACGTTCATTTGCTAGTACAGCTGCTTCAGCCGGGAAATTTGGGCGGACTTCCGCGATGCGTCCGGATGGTATGAAGCGAGCCGCTGCGGCAGTGACTACCCTGCGGAACTAGCGTTCGCCAGCGTGTGCGTCTGAGGGTGTGGGAATGGCGGCGAAGCTGCTCTCAGTAACTTCCGCGAAGCCGCTCCAATCAGCTTTGTTAGTATAGGTTCGGTGGTCTGCGGGTGCAAAGTCGGTGGGCTTATTGATCGATATGATTGTGGGCAGATGGTCTGATGCCAGTGCAGCATATGTCGCCAGGATGTGCTATTTATCAGACCAGCGTTAGAAATTGTTAGGTTTTGCGAGCACCTGCATCTGTCCACAATGCTGGTGGGGGCGTCGTCGTTCATGGTGCAGAATGCCGAATCGTATATCTGCTCAGCCAATAGGTGTCCCCTACGATCATTTGCCAAGCTTAAGTGCCTTTGGGATCTTTGGCACCACTGTCGGAAAATTCAGCCTCAACGACAAAACGTCCGATAACGGACTGAGGCTGATCGACTTCGCCGGGGACTGAAACATAGAAATTTGTAGTACTATGTTCCAGTATAAGAAGAGCAACCAAATCGGCCATGTTGTGATCACATGGCATGCTTCCAGTGCTTTAGACGTACGTACACTCTGTAACGCAAGCCCAAAAGGTTGAGTGCAACATCCACTGCCACAATGTGTCTCTACAAGTACCTCAACATGTTTATAGACATTGTAGACAACTTGTGTGATAAGGACCAATATGAATGTTTGCTTGAGTTGATTTGTGTTTATGTGAATGTAGTGAAAGTCCGCTGTGAGTATGCATGCATGTGTGAATGAGCGAAATGCGGAAAGAAATTTCAGCAAACAGCTAGGGCACGATTACTGGCGATCTTCAGACAAAAATTAGATAGAAAGGTGCCATTAAAATGTTTAGACGCAAAAAATCCGTGAAATTAATATTTATAGAAAGTGGAACTTAGAAAATCTGTAATAATATTGGTTTGCTCCGTTAAGAAAAAAAGCGGCACTGTTACATGCCACAGGAGGTGAGTCATATGCATTTTTAATAAAGTTAAAGAAATTGATGTAAAATCCAAACCAACTAAAATGCGAAGTGTGTGTGTATACACCAAAGCGTCTGAGTTACAAGTGTAACTGAAGATATCCCTTGAAATACTTGTATTCACACGATAAAATCACATAAACTAAGGGCCTTATTCTGTATCACGAACGATAGGCAAAACGAACGATTCATCTGCACACGACAACCTCTCTGATTGCGATTTTGAACTCTATCGGTCGTCTTCGTCTCGCTTTTCATACTTTACGTTGCAATGGTCTCGGTTGCGTTTAAACCGGCTAAACTGATGCCGAGGGACTGATTTTTGAAGCATTCCTCTACAGACGAATCGTTCGTGATACAGAATAATGCTTTAAAGTTGAATAAAATGAAATTGAATAAAATTAAATCAAATAAATTGAATTAGAAAAGCTAAAAGAACGTAAAATAAACTAAAATTCTAACTAAATATATTCAAATTAACGTAAAATAAAATGAAAGAGAGACTAAATTTTTATAAATAAACTGAAGTAAGATTAAATCAAATTAAAGTAAAACTATAATGTGATAAAAGTATCTAAAACACATAAAATAAACTAGAAGTCACATATAAACGAATACACATACCAGCAGCACTACAGTGAACATACATACACACGCAATATAAATGGCATGCAGCTATGCATAACATACATATGTACACATATATACATATATAACTATAATAAATGAGTAGAATCTACAGATCCTATAATTATAAAATAAATAAATCAAGACAATGTAGTGACGCTAGATATACCTTACAGGTCCCCGCTGGGCAAGGGTTACGTCAGGGCCTTAGAAATTAAAACCGAAAAAAGCGGAGATACGTCTTTCTCCAGTCACCCAACAACCCATACATATGTGGCAATACAGGATAGAGAGCAATAGAGGATAGAGAAAAATTTGGAGACTTGCGAAGTAAATACAGAAGGAGAAGGAGAAGGGCAAGGTGCACACTTACATACATACATACATCAGGAGAGCGGATTTGATTTTATTTCTTCACTGATGTATGTTCTTATGCCTTGTTTTCTTGATTTGGGTTTTTGCGTAGTTATTATTATTTTTTGCTTTGCATAATTAGAACACTTTTTGTGTTTGGATTCACGCTTTTAGTAGTTTTTATATAACTAGTATATTGCGAAGGACGAAGGCCGGATTTTTCTTTTGTTTATTAATTTATGGATTTTTTTGTTTAATACCTTTTTATACCG